AGGTTTGAAAATTTGTTCTCTTTCTCAGTCTTTTTCCACACTGGAGAATGCTCCTTGGAGTTGGGGAAGACTGGGCATCTTCTCCTGTTGTGTGGATGATTCTCTAGACTGTGGGGCATTATTCGTTTTCTGTGCTGTTCTTGGTTTTCTTTCTCACTAATATTCTGTTGGATTTCATTATCTGTAACTAAGTGTTAGACATTGAAGTTTCCCAGCATTTCTGTCTATTTTCTCCCTACTATTCTACTAGTGATTGTGTCATGTGTTTGGAAACTGTTGAGTAAAATGAACCCACGCTGATAATATAGCCTTCTAGCAAATGCTACATTTTTATCCTTGGTCAGTATTCTTTCTTTGTGTGTTTTGAGAGTTTTGTATTGGATTGTCTGTTACCTTCCAAAATTGTGGCTGCCCATCTTATTTATTGCTATCCACATTCGTGATGTTTCTTTTAAAACCTCCTTTCACACTGAACATTTGGTGTCCTTAAGATCCAGAGTGATAAGGGCTAAATTGATAAGGGCTAGATTGAAGTAATGCAGACCAGCTAGATAGTGCTTATTTCTCCAGTTCTAATCCTCTCCTTGCCAGTGATCTAAACAGGCTGGTGACTCCCTGGCTTCTTTGTTGACCACAGGCCCCATCTCAACACACCTCCCACCCCCCACATTTCCCTTGTCCAGCAGGTCAGATGGGATTTCCAGGCCACTGTGTCCTCCTGGGATACTCACAGCACAGCACAGTGTATTGGTACTTGGGCTGCCACAGTTGGTACGGCTGCATCAGGGATCAGGGGTTGGCATTGATGTGGTGTTGACAGCTTGGTTATTGGCTATGCCAGGAAACCATCTCCCAAGAAGCAGCCCTTCTCCTGTTCTGTCCTGGGCTTTTCCCTGTCTGAGGCCACGGGGGTCATCTTCCTCACCGAGGCTCTGTGTGGTCACGCAGCTGTCCCTGGTGCTTTGACACAGTGACAGTCCCAGTGCTGAAGTGTGAAAAGTTTACTATTAAATGTAGTGTTCCTCTGAAATAAATTTCCAGAGCAAATCTTTTTGTCATTTAAAATCCTTCACTCTCAGTGTGTTGTGTCATATTTGAATGAATGTTTTGTGGGAAATATATGCTTCAATTTTATTTTCACTTTTTAGCCCTGGCTGACCTACATCTCTTCATGTAAACCAGGATGGGCTCCAACACACAGAGCTCTACCTGGTCCTGTCTCTCACACCCAGTCTCATTTTTAATTTGTTTTATTTTTTAAGGAGCTCCATGCTGAGTTGCATTGTGGGTGCGGTAAGTTGGACTTCTACTAATACTGTGGGTGTATGTTATTGCTCTTGTTTTGTCTCTAGTATTTCTTGTTAATATCAATGTAGTTTATATGAGCATTTTGGACACTTTGATTTGAAAAGGCAAGAAGACACAATCTCAGAGCAGAACACCAGGGAGAAATGGCTGCTTCTCCAGTAAATACATTCAAGATCACTGTAATGTCTATTTTTTTTTTCTGGGAATGTCATATATTGAGAATACGCAAACCTTTAAAATTCCGTTTTGAAAATGTTACCTGGTGCTTGGAGAGATGGCCCAGTAACAAAGAACACTTTATGCTCTTGCAGAGGATTGGAAGTCAGTTCATCAACTCATGTGGTGGCTTGTAGCCATCCATATTCCAGATCCAAGGGATTTAACATCTGTTAAGGATTTTTCATCGCTACCACATGTGATGCTTTTTATGCTGTTTAATAAAGACAGAGAAAAACACTTTTTTATGGACAGACACATACAGAGTACACAGAGAGAGAGAGAGAGAGACAGACAGACAGACACACACACAGAGAGAGAGAGAGAGAGAGAGAGAGAGAGAGAGAGAGAGAGAGAGAGAGAGAGAGAGAGAGAGAGAGAGCGCAAACAGACACACAGGGTAGATTCACAAGACAACTTTCAGGCAGACACAGACTCACACTCATGGAACAGAGAACTAGGGAATGGAAGAGACAGGGAACTTCAAGTAGAGAATTCACATCTGGCCTTGTTCTTATTTAATGGGTGCAAGGGAAAATGCTCTCATTTTTCCCTTGACTCAGCTAGGATTATTTGTGATGTGGAGTTAATCACTAATGTGTTTAGTCCATGCACATATGCAGAATCTATTAGCTAGTGACATCATTGTTTTTCCATATGGAGAGAAACAATAGAACTTATCACAAAGTGAAGCAAGCAGTCTTGTCATCTGAAGAGTGTCCATGGGCTCCAAACCCTGTGCTTTAAGGACAGACCCCTATCTTTGCGTTGGTTTTCCTGTGTGCACACCTCCAGGCAGACCTGGGATGCTTATTTACTTTTCATGATCATGACAGCACAGTTTAAACCTCAGAACACACCAGAGAAACCTGATCCTCATAATCGTGACAAATGTATTTCTTAGTGAGAATTTCTAATAGGACTGGAGTAATTCTACAGTCTCTTTTCCTCAGCCTATGCAGATGGACATGGGTTCATACAGAGAACTGTAGGCAGCAATCAGAAGTGCATCAATGGATAAAGGGCTAATCAATATAGCATATATGATAGTTCTATTTCTAGGGTTTTGGGAATAATATAGAATGCTTTCTAAAGTGGCTGCTCTAGTTTATGCATCAACAAGCAGTGTATAACAGTGTCATTTTCCAACATTCACCTCAGAATTTGTTATTTATCCTGGCAATGGTCATTCTAACAGGGTGAAATGGAATCTTTAAGGAGATTTAGTCTGCATCTACCTGATACCTAAGTATACAGAACTCTTTGTCAACATGACTTGAGGAGTACCCAAGCTAACTGCACAGCCTAATCAGGAGACATGAGTGTACAAACATACCTGATACCTACTGACCTTAAAGCTTTCATGGAACTAAATTAGAAAAAGCCAAAAGAAATGATCAAATATTCTGATTCATATCACACACCAAATTACACCAACATGAAGTGAATCGACAGGTTTATAAGCAGCAACAACAATGAAGAAGAAATAAATGCACCTTGATTAAAAAGAAAACCCAAGAAGCAGATTAATTCACTCCAGAATTATGTCAGAATTTCAGAGGATAATTGATCCTGAATCCACTTAAAGTATTCCCTGATGTAAAATGGAGTCAAGACTTCCAGATTCTTTATGAAGTTAATATTACCTGATACCAAACCAGATAAAGAGGAAAATTGAAAAACTTTAACTTTTATTTTTATCTTTTTGTCATTTCATGTGATATACCTTGATTAGTACACACTCTGATCCCTTACTCCATACAGTCCTGGCCCATACACATCCTTCTCTCTGTCTCCTTCCCTCTCTAACCCCATCTCTCTCTCTCATGTTCATTTCTACTCATTTTGCTTTTGACCCACGGAGATTAACCAGGGCCATCTGTGAGGATGTGGGTTTGGAGCTATGTTTTGGAGCCTGTTGGGCTTAGCAGAAGAGACACAAGTAAAGACAGTGATTCCCCTTCTCCTAAAATCTCTCCATAGCCACAGTTGAGAGCTATAAGGGAGGGGCCCTGTGAGCCTCTCCCCCTCCTAGACGGATTGTGTCCAGGGCTGGCCTTGACTGAGCCCAGTGTAGGTGAGTACAGTTGCTGTGGGTTACTGATTACAACAGCTGTGTGGAGTCTAGAGCATGACATGTCCTGGCCGTTCCCCATGTTTTCTTATTTCCTCCCCACTGCCCCTTCCTCAGTATGCCCAGAGCATTGATGGGATAGTGTAACTGAGCTGTTTAAGGCTGTGCCCATTTCAATGGCTTATTTTATGCATCTTGAACAGCCACAAGCTTCTACATTCACCCCTGAGTTTTCAAAAGGAATTTTCTGTGTTTTCCATAAAAGTACCTTCAGAATCCTTCCCAGAAGACAAACTTGTTTCCGTGTTAGCACAAGCACAACATCCCCATCTCACAGCACAGCATGACTTCAGCCCTGGGCTGTTAAAGGTCTGACTGACCACTGACTTCCTGAGATACCTATTTCCTTTCTAAACTCTGAGTAACTGAATTGTCTTCCGCCAAGTCAACGTTGCTAATAGTGTAATTCTGGATATTTGAGTGGCAGTAGTGGAGTTCTGTGAGGGAAGAGTAAAGACGACTGTTTAGTGTCACTTCATTTGTATAGTGATGGTAATGATTATCCAGCTTTCCAGGAAATCTCTCCAGAATGAGTTACTGTTTCAAAAATTTAGAATATTTCACATAAGTGTAGAATATACAGATGGAACTTCACTTTTAACTTGAACTGGTGCTACTTGCATAGAACATTTTTATTTTAATTCATGATTTTCTTTGAGCCATCCAGCTCCTCTACCTTGTCTTCAAGGCTGATATTCTGTCTCCTACCTGCTTGATCTCTTTGAGTTATTATTAGGGTTATTGCATTTTTCATTTCCTGTTTCATTTCACATTGGATTTTTTTCGGTGTTTCTTAAGTACTTATTGAATTTAATATTCATACCCTACAATGTGTTTGCATCCTTCAGGCATTTGCTAGTGTTTTCTTGTCCACGGATCATTTTGTTCCAATCTTCTTTGAGTTGATTCACATGCTTTACATGTTTTGACCATTTTGGACATGACTCTGGTTTTTGAGTTCTGTATATTGGATATCATTTAACTTTCTTTCCTTAGGGGATACAGATATGGTTTGTTTTGAGCCAAGGGTGTTTTATCTTAGTTTTAATTTGTTTTGGGGATGGGGCTTTAGTAACAGAATTTAGGGTGTTGGTTTTCTTTTGCTGTGTGTTTTAACCCAGGAAGCTTGTATTCCAAGATGAGAACTTAGGCGGGATAACCTGTATCTGAAGGGGTCAGAACACAGGGTCAGAGCCCGGGAGGCAGCGTCCTCCTAGATCCAGTTCTGGTCTAGGCTGGCAGCGAGCATGTGGGGAGGCTGTGCAGAGCGGGTCCAGGGCAGCCTGACAGCTGGAGCTGTGTGGAAGGCGGCCTGAGACCGAGTGGGAGGGACGGGTCTCCAATGGGGCGCGACACCTGCCTGATCATTGGTCTTTAGTAGAAAATAAACAGTGGGGTACACTTCGATAACAAAACATGAAGATTGCTCAGTGGTGAAGAGCACTGGCTGCTCTCCCAGAGGACCCAGGTTCAAATTCCAGCAAGCACATGGCAGCTCACAGCTGTCTCTGACTCCAAGATCTGACACCCTCACACAACCATACATGCAGGCAAAACGCCAATGCATCTAAAATAAAAATAAATAAATTTTTAAAAAGGGGGGGGGGGGGGAGAAAGGAAGGAAGAATAAGAGCCGGATGTTGGCTTGCTGGAGGAAGAATGTAACCGGAAGCAGCCATGCATTGGGCGGCGCCCGGCAGAGCCGCTTCTGGGAACCATGCTGAAGGGACAGCGATTTCCAACGTTCTTTGTTAGACTCGTGTAGCCGTTTTGTTCCGAACTGCATGAGAAGGACCCGGCGGGGTGTCGCTGGGACCTGAAACCTCCCCGGAGCCGCAGTCTCCGCGCGGGGCGGCCTGGGAAAGTCACCAGTCAGCAGCGCAGTGGCGGGAACCGCAGCCCGGCGGCCCTGGAACCTCCCAGGTCAGAGGAGCTGCGGGGCTGGGACACGGGAGGGGAGGGACCGGGGTGTGCTCGCGGAGGCTGCTCAGAAGGACACAGCTTTCAAAATTCTGTTGTGGATATCGTTCCGTTGTCGGTAAGGTTGAGATCCTATGAAGTGGGGTGTATCGTGATTTTTTCTTTTATGGTTGCCAGAATGTTTTCACCATATAATCTCGTAGAGCATCTGCAGTGTCTGTAGTTTGCAAACGGGGTTTCTTTGATACTGTACCAGTTCCAACGCTCCTAGAATTGTAATTCATCCATCGTTTCTTAATACCCCTGCTGCACTACTTGCCTCTACAATAGAGTGGCTTGTGGCCTGAGGAACTGGCTTCCCTAGAGAGCTTTGTAGATATTAGTCATATGAGGAACCTTTGTAGACTTGATTGAATCAGAAAATGTACGTTACAAAGCACCACAGTTATGATTGTAAATATTAACATTTACTAAGCGAAGTTTTACTCGCCATTAATTTTCCATCTGAGATGTATGCAGTCTGTTGTAAACACAGAATTCCGAAATGTGTCTTCATGTGCTTAGTTGTTGATATTACACCTTAGGTCTGAATGATAAATGAGGACACGACTACTTTAAATGTGGTTGAGGAGAAGGTTTATTGTAGGTATGAGGGAGAAAATAGCCAGAGGCATCTGGAAGGGCCCAGAATGAACTGGTCCATGAGAGGAGAGAGAGAAATGAAGAGAAGACCGGAGAGAGGTGGAGGCCAAGAGAGGAACCTGGAGCCTAGAGGCCAAGAGCACATAGCAAAAAAAAAAGTCCTCTTTGATATGTTAATGGGCACTTCAGTTAGCCATTTCTCATGAGTTTTTTGCCCCCTGACAAGGTCCAGGCAAGCCCAGTATACATGCTGTGAGAAGATGTTATCAGGTCACACTATTTTTATAGATAGAAAACTCTTTTTTTTTTTTTTTTTTTTAGTTTTTAGAGACAAGGTTTCTCTGTGTAGTTTTGCGCCTTTTCTGGAACTCACTTTGGAGACCAGGCTGGCCTCGAACTCACAGAAATCCGCCTGCCTTTGCCTCCCAAGTGCTGGGATTAAAGGCGTGCGCCACCACTGCCTGGCTTTAGAAAACTCTTTTTTCTTACAGTCTCCCTTGCTTCCCCTCAGGGTTCTTGGACAGACCACTCTGCATGTGTGTGAGGTGTGTGTGAATGAGGTTTCACATCCCATAAAGTGAGATCCTCAGAGATAAAGAGACGTTTTTCGTGATATTTTCTCTCTTCATGTTTATCCTTTGCCAGGTGTTTTCTTCTTTCATTTTTGTTCCATGGAAAGTTCCAAGTACTTTCTGAAGATTCCCTTCCCCATATGCAAGTCTCACATTGCTCAGTGAGTCCTGCTCACCTGTGAATCAGAACAAAGAGCCCTGCATGGTGAAGAGAGAGGAGACAGTAGCAAAGGATCCAGGTATGGTAGAAGGATTGAGGAAGGGGTGGGGTAGGTCTCAAGTGATAGTTGAAACAGGAAGTTGGTTTTGGTAGATTCTGTTTCATTAATGATTATGGAAAATTTCACTGAGATAATCTTAGATGTGATACTGAATTTGCCATCGTTGGCTGTGTAGAGAGCAGTCAATTGTTTCAGTATTTGATGAGTTATGAGTCTCTGAAATACCTGTTGCCCATTGAAACCAAAGTTTCTTTCACCCAGGCTGAAAGCAGCACCCCAGATATGAGAGTGAACTGAGCTATTTAAAGGCAGGTTGAGTATTGTACATGTAGCAAATATCAGTAGAGGCTCCCTGCCTAGGACCTGTGACCTTTGTTATCATTGCTTTTGGCGAGGTTCCCCGTCCATCCATGTATTTCCTTCTGTGGAGCTGGCCTCATAGTGAACCAGAAAACCTGGTACCCATAGAAGAGTCTTCCTCCTATGACACCCGTGGGCATGCCTTGCCTGACAGATTGGGATTATTGTACATAGGATCCAAATCTGGATATGGCCATTGATAGCTCCACCTCCTTACCCAGCCTGCATACCTGTTTTTGACAGTATGAATGCTATGACCAGGGAGTCCCAGATATCTGTAGACAGTGTGAGTGGTCTGATGTGACCTTTCCCAAGATGGTCCAATTGCTTTCTGACTCTCCTATGTTGTCCTCTTTAAGTTTCTGTCTTTCTTGATTGTGTACACACTGATGCACTGTGTTGAATTAGTCCTGATTCAAGTGGAAAAATTCAAATTGTTCTGCTTTTGTCCTGTTTGGTTTAGCTTTGTGTCTCTTCATGTTCATTATGCTGAGGTATGTTTCTCCTGTTCTCACATTCTGGAGAGCTTTATACTAAGCAAATGTCATATTTTATGTATCTGTTGACATAGTCTTTTTTCTTCTCTCACTGAGCCCACTTATTTGATGTCTTACATTGATTAGTTTGTAGATCTTGCACTCTTGGTGTGAACTCAGCTTTCCTTCCATTTCCTTATAATTTAGAGAGACTGTCTGTGTCTGTTTCCTTCCCAGCAAGTAGTCTGTGATTTTCCTTTGTACATATTAGTTTGGGTCCATCTTCTTTGAGTGTCAAGGTAAAGCCAGCTCTTTATGATGACTTTCTAGCATTCATTTTCTTTGTGTTTTATTTACTAGTCTCCTTTTTGTTTTTTGTTTTTTGATTTTTCGAGACAGGGTTTCTCTGCGTAGTCCTGGATATGTTGATATTCCCAGTACCTGTCAAGATATGAGATGATACAAAATATAACTGTGACATATATTTATGTATATATACTGTGGTTTTATAATTATGTAAACATAAAATCTGTTATCCACACATGCAGAATGAATGCTTCTTTTGTGACCCAGATTTAATGTAAGATATAACATATAGTTATATAAGCCAAGAGACTAAACACATGAAAGTATACTTTCTCATGAAAGTATAAAGTTAATTTCCATAGAGGAAAATGGTAGCAGCCAGGGACTGAAAGACCTCAGAGTTGTCATAGTGAATATTTATTGTCAACTTGAATGTATTAAGAACTATCTTGAGGCTGGAGAGATGGCTCAGAGGTTAAAAGTACTTGTTGCTCTTGCAGAGGACCAGGGTTCCATCTTAGCATCCACATCATGGTCTATAGCCATCCATAACTCCAGTTCTTGGAGATCTGATCCCCTCTTCTCACCTCCATGGATACCATGCACGCAAGTGGTGCATATACATGCATGCAGGCCAAACATTTCCAAATAAAATAAAGTAAAATGAATAAATCTAATTTAAAAATTGTCTAAAAACTGCCTAGAAGAATAGTAAGGTACATGTCTGTGTATGTCTGGGAAGGTCTTTCCACAGAGGATAGGGCTTTGAAGGTTTTAGCCTGATCAGTGAATAATCAATGAATAATCCTCACATTAGCTCATAATGAGATTGGGTTGTTGGAAGCTAGTAGAAAAAGCAGGAAGAAGACAGATCGTAGAGAGGATATAATTCACAGGAGCAAGCTTGAAAAGATACACCTTATCCCTGTACCTTCCTGAACATTCTCTTCTCCCTGGCACCCACCAACTGGGTTCTGCCATGCCTCCAATTTGATGATTCTGTATTAATGTTTCCTACAGCAATTTAGCACTCACATTAGATTTTAAACAGATTTTATGACCTGAATTGTAATATTCTACCTTTTAAATAGGTTCAGGTGGGTTTCAAGGGATCAATATTCTTACACAAAGTTGTGCAAGCTACTAAAGTAGAAACAAGTCCATCTCTAAGAAGAACTAATTTGGAATGATAATCTTTTCCTCAGTGACCATTTTATTGTAGACGATGATGAGAATGATTAAAACTGGATCTGATAATAAGTTTACTGTATTGAGAGAAAAACATGATGTGTCTTTTCTCCAAGACAGCAGGATACACATGATAAATACATGTACTGTATCTGCCACGTAGAATGAACTGAAATGTATCCTAAGTTTCTTTTTTCCTTTAGATTGTTTACTTATTTTTACTTTTATGTGCATTGGTGTTTGCCTGTGTCTATGCCTTTGTAAGGATGTTGGGTCTTCTGGAACTGTAGTTACAGATACTCGTGAGCCACTATGTGGGTGTTGGGATTTGAACCTGGGTCCTCTGAAAGAGCAGTCAGTACTCTTAACCACTGAGCCATCTCTCCAGTCCTGTATTCTAAGTATTTTTTATCAGCGAGAAATGCTGACAGCATTTTCAGATAGGGTGTAAGCAGTCCTATCCCCACCTCTATATTGTACCATGTGGATTATAGCAGTAAGAATTTTCAGGAGATACTGACCTGTTGCTGTGCATAAGCCATCAATTTTTAAGCATTAACTAATGTCCCATTTAATGACTGTTCTCTTTTTTTTCTCCTTTGGAAGAGGAAGGCTCCCCTCCCTCATGTTTTTCCTGTCCCTGTTTTTTTGTAGGTAGAGATTCTGAAGAGAAGTTTTGATGGACAGACCTCTATTTATTTCTTTAAAAAACTAATTAAGTATAGGAGTGTTCATTTGCATGTTTTTATGTGAACAGCATGTGTGTGATGGCCATGGAGTCACCAAATCCATGGCACAGGAGTTAGGTAAAATTGTAGGTTGCCTAATGTGTAGAGAGAATTAGACCCTTTCTCTTTAGGAACAAGTGTCCTTAACCCTTGAGACATCTCTCCAGGTCCCAGGTTTACATTTCTGGTGCACTTTCATGATGGAGCCAGTATATAACACTGCAAATTCTATTTTTTGAGAATGTTAGAATAGAATCAAGTGAGATGCGGCTGCAGACAGGATTGATCCAGTGTCAATATTGCAGCAAGTCTGACAGTTGTAGAATTTGGAAGCAAAGTTTTGCTCATCATAACTTCATCATCTGAGATATGACACTGGGGTGCTATTTGATATCAACACAGAGTTCTTAAACTACATCTAGACCTCAGATACAAAACTTATATTCTCAAAACGTTTGTTGACTCTGAGACTATTGTCATTTTGATTTATAGAGATAGAAAATTCAATACAGACTGTGACTATTTTAGAAAGTATCTTTTATTGTTTTGTTTTGTTTTGTTTTGAGACAGCGTTTCTCTATAGCCTTGACTGTCCTTGAACTCTTTATGTAGACCAGGCTGGCGTCGTTCTCTCAGATCTGCTTGCCTCTGCCTCCCTATGGTGATATTTTATCTGTGTCCCCCAATAAAGTTTATCTGAGGATCAGAGGAAAAAGCCAGCCACTATATTAGACATAGAAGTCAGGCTATGGTAGCACGTGCCTTTAATCCTATCATTTGGGAGGCAGTGATCTGTCTGCATCTCTGTGAGTTCAAGGCCACACTGGGAACAGAGCCAGGCATGGTGGCACACGCCTTAAATCACAGCACTAACCATAGAGGTCTGTAGGTCTGTACAGACAGACAAGAAGTGACAGAGATGGGCAAGAAGAGGAAGTGATGTAGCTGGAAGAGAGCAAATGAGATAGCAGAACAGAAAGGCATATAGGTGTAGGTATACAGGAAGTAGGCCTCTTTGGAGACTGAGGTGTCAGTGAGGTGAGGTTAGCTTATGGCTTCTCCTATTCTTCTGATCTCCCAGGTTTTTACCCCTATATCTGGCTCCTAGTTTTTATTTAATAAGACCTTTTAAGATTTGTGTTATACCTCCCAAGTGCTGAGATTAAAAGCATGTGGCACCACTCTCCACCCAAAATTATCTTTTATTAAAATTACATTTCACATTTATTTTATGTGATTATATTTGCTTGACTGTATGCATATATGATATGTGTGCCTCTAGCCTGTAGAATTCAGAATTGAGCATTGGATCTCACGGAACCAGAGTTAAAATCTGTTGTGTTGTGCCACAAGGGTGCTAGGAACCAAACTGCATTTTGCCACATTCTGTTTCTATAAGAATGGTTCTGGAATATTCTGCTGTAAATCATCTCGTGATTATCCTCTTGTACATATTACTGACTTTCTATGTTATAACTAATAGGAAAAAATACAATGTATTTGACTGCATTTGTATGATGATGTCCTTATTTCATCTGTGTCTCATTTTTGTGTTCTTATCAATATTATACAAATTTCATTACTTTCATTTAAGCATACTGTGAAATTAGGACAATTTTTGCCTCAAAGTTTGTTTCCTGATTTTCTAACTGTGAAGGTTTCAGTAGGTCCTTCATATTCTATTTATTTTGTGGTCTGTTTTTTAATTTCCTGATAAAATACTAGCAGGACTCTGATAAGAATTGATTAGTATCTCTACAAAATATTAAACTTGTCTATATTGTCTTCTCATTGATTTTTTTTTCCTCTTATTTCTTCATGATTTCTACTGCAGTAATTTTAATTGATTTTAAAATCTTGGTTTAATCTTTTAAAGGGTTTGAATGCTCTGTGTTTTCTCAATTTCATATATATTTTGGATTACTTTGTTCATAAACAAATTGCTTAGTACCTTTGGAAA